GATTCTTGGCTGATAACAGTCAAAAAACCAGCAATGACTGTTCTACTCTCCCCTGTTTTTGACGGTAATTTCGATCAGCCTCATACGTATGAGGTAGAGGGAACTTATTGATCCCGTTACAGACCCTAATCGATCTGGAACCTTAGAGAAAATCGCAATGCTATTATTAGTACATGAAGGGAAGGACTACTGGCAAGCACAAGGGGCACTGCAATGGCTATTTCTGGCTCATCAGTCGTCATCAGCTTGTCACATTCCACACTGTCCCCTTACTATGCGGGAGAGAAAAGCACTGACCAGCGGGCCAGCAATTAAACTTTCCTCGCAGCGCAGTCCGCCAATATAGCCGTAAAGCCCTCAGCACGCCAACACGTTTACGACCCATAAATACCTGGAAGCGCCGTACAAAACCGCTCTCTGACGATGGAGTCTAGTTTTCTTTTTAAACGTGAGGACATTAGTGCAATTTTCTCCTGTCATCGCCTCTTCTAATATATATGGGCCGTGACCAGGTTTCACTATATAGTTTTGACGGTAAAAATATGTACCGGGACCTCATAAGGATACTCGTGTATTATATCCACCTAATTACAAGTTTTAAGTAGGTTGAATCTTCCACAGTCTTCCAGTTTTTAGCACGTCGGCCGTTGGTCCAGTAGGGATTGGATGATGATATTGAACCGCGGAGGGGTCCTCGAAGGCCACCATATACAATAGCCGCTCACGTCAGTATATTAAGTAAAACGGCTTTTCAAATTAACAATGGCCATAACCGCTTACTTCCACATTTTAAGTGGGGTGAATTTCTGCCAGCTGCACTCATTCGTCTTTATTCTACTTGGGGTTAATGATACTCGTAAAAAATGTACCTCAATGACCTCGCTCGTGGTCAGCGGACACCCCCCCCGACATACACGCGCTAGCCGTTGGTCCAGTGGGGGTTAGCGATGATATTAAAATGTACTTCGGTGTCCCTGCCTGAGGTCAGGGCACATCCTCAAACTTACCCTCGTAACTTTTTTTATTTTGTAAGATTATTGCGTACTGATTTGTTCCCTGGCATACCCCGACCACCCTATCCCCTTAAACCAGGTGACCGTAAGATCAAGGGCGCGCTTCGCGCTGCACTCAGGCGGCCCCACGACGGGTTCCTACCGCTTTGACTTGCAATCCGAGGCCGCCCACCAACTGGACAGCTAAATTGTCATGATCAGTAGTTTTGGGGCCCCTGGCGTGAATGGTTCGAGAAAGACAAGTTAGGTTCAGTGTGTACTACATACATTCGCCCTTAGGGCAAGCCTTTGACTGTCGGACTTGAGACATTTTCCGTGAAATCTTGATACATTATGCGGGATCAGGTGTTGTGTACCACACGCAGGCGGACTTTTGAGCTCTAGTAGGCACTGCATCCGTGCCCATCCCAAGTCGCCTTGACACATTCTTTAAGGTTGGCGAGTGAGGGGGGAGTGAGTGCGTTAGATGCTGCCCAAGGCTTATAGACAAGTCCCTGAAGCTTCTATGCAGTCCATGTTGGTCGCCTTCACCTGCGACGGTCTAACTTCTTGTGGCTCGCCCTGTGCGCCATGAGGTTAAAATTATAGGTATATTCTCACAGTTGGAGAGCGTGATTAAGAGTTAGGAAGCAGACACTGAAGAGGGTTTCAGCAGACCAGTGCTTAGGGATTGCTTTGTGTCTGCGCGCTTTCCGCATTCCAGGCGTCTAATTAACTGTTTTTTAGTTTGCGCACCAAAGTTAAGAGCGGGTTGAAGCCTCGCATGTTGCACAGTATGAGGTTTGGTATGGCTGCCTCCTTTATCTTTAGCAGTATGGTTTTTCTGCCTATATTACTAGTTGCGGCGGGCTGCTGACGGGGCTTGAGAGTGAGCCACAATGCCGAACGACACAAAGGAGTCCAGTATCCAATCGTCGAGCACAGTCTACGAATATACACACAGATATAGTTCAGTAAATGTATGTATATGTACATTTATGTACATGTTTATGTATGTATGTATATGTACACAGAAGAATATTGCCGACAAAAAGAGAAAAGCGACTTTTATCGTCTTTTCTGGTTTATAAGTCGCCATCAGCTAGCCATACCAAACCCAGATGTCACATCACACGAGCCTAGACCAGGTGAGTCGTCTCCTATACCACCAATATAGTTGGTTATCTTTCCATAAGATGTTGAAAATAAAAACTCTTGTGCGTTATCTCCTTGCCGCCAACACTCAGGCCTTATGTGTTAGGTTAAGGAGACTGGCAGTTAAGGTACCAGTTAAATTCAGGTCACCAAACAGCTTATTTAAATAATCGATTATTTGCGCGCGATAATTAAAATACCCTAATGGTTCCTAATTGGACACACAATCGTCGACTTTATGTGAACTCTATAGAGCTGATATTGAGTTGACGGTTGTGTCCGATCGGACATTATTTGGCCATTATAATTACCGCGCGCAAATATTGGGTTATTTAAATAATTAATCCTATTCTTATACGCTCTATTTTTAAAGTGTTTACTTTTCTCCTGCTACAAACCGCCGATCTAAATTTTTTTACCATCTGTCCATTATAACGGAAAGATGGGGTTCTCGTGTGTTGTTTGGGGACCTCAATTGAACTGTTGCCGCAAACAATTCCCACGTCAAGCATGCAGCTTTTCGTTGGCTCAGAGGAAGGACACCCAACGCAAACCGAAGAGATAACAGCGCTTCGAAGCTCTATTTACTATTGTGATATAAGATATTTTTCTTTCCTCTGTTTCCGTCCGCTTGTTTTTATCTATTGAAACTAATCTTCAAACTATTTTTGCTCTTGCTATGTGCACCTAAATTGGCCGAATTTCAAAAATCATCCAAGCTTGGGCGAATCTACAGCTTTCCATCCGGTTTTCGCGTGCTGTTTACTAACCCTATTTGCGATTGATTTTGTTGACAAATGACAACACCGGTTTCATAGCAACGACACTGCAGACTGGGTTCTATGAGGCTCATCCGTGCGAAGGGGTTTAGAATATCAAGAGGGACTCTTTTG